AGTGTAGTGTAGTGTAATGTTGTGTAGTGTAGTGTGATTTAGTGTAGTGGAGTGTAGTGGAGTGTAGTCTTGTAGTTGTAGCTGTAGTTGTAGTGTAATGTAATGTAGCGAAGTGTAGCGGAAGGTAGTGTAGTGTAGTGTAATGTAGTGTAGTGGAGTGTCGTGTAGTGTAATGTAGTGTAGTGTAATTTAGTGGAGTGTAGTTGTGTAGTTGTGTAGTTTTAGTTGTAGTGTTGTGGAGTGTAGTGTAATGTAGTGTAGTGGAGTTTAGTGTAGTGTAGTGTAATTTAGTGTAGTGGAGTGTAGTGGAATGTAGTTGTGTAGTTGTGTCGTTGTGTAGTTGTATTTGTAGTGTCGTGGAGTGTCGTGTAGTGAAGTGTAGTGGAAGGTAGTGTAGTGTAGTGTAATGTAGTGTGGTGTAGTGTGATGTAGTGTAGTGGAGTGTAGTGGAGTGTAGTGGGGTGTATTTGTGTAGTTGTAGTTGTAGTGTAGTGGAGTGGAGTGTAGTGTAGTGAAGTGTGGTGGAAGGTAGTGTAGTGTAGTGTAGTGTAATGTAGTGTAGTGTAGTGTAGCGGAGTGTAGTGTAGTGTAGTGTAGTGAAGCGAAGCGACATCTGAACTTCCAAAAGTGGTGCGAACATGTGGTGTTTTGTACATTTTGACTTGGAAACGTACTTCGCGCCACAACGGCGTGCACTTTTTCGCCATCTGAACCTCCAAAAGTGGTCCGAGCATGGTGTGTTTTGTACATGTTGACTTGGAAATGTGCTTCGCGCCACAACGGCGTGCACTTTTTCGACATCTCAACTTCCAAAAGTGGTCCGAAGCTGGTGTGTTTTGTACATTTTGACTTGGAAATCTGCTTCGCGCCACAACTGCGTGCAATTTTTCATCTCTCATCTGGCCAGCTGGCTCCGCACCCGCCGCTTTAGCGAGCCTACTTTTCGACCCTCCGGAGCCACAAATCATTGGAAAAACACAGTGTTTCGCGACTTTCCTACCTTTTCGCGCATCTGCATCTTCTTTCTTCTGACTCTTTCTCTTCTACTCTTCTTTCTTCTTATCTTTCTCTTCTCTCTGCCTCTTCCCTGCTCTGCTTTTCATCTGTCCATATTGTCGGAAGTTTGACTTCTAAACTTCCTTGACCATGGAGCATGAACCAACGATTACTTGTCTTAACCCAAGTAATTCCAATAAATCATCATCAAGTAAGCGTTAATTATTTCTGTTATCACCATTGAACAATCATCAAAATCAATCAAGTGATTGACGAACCAGAAATCATCCAGTGCTTGATACTCCAGCTCCCTGCATTCAATACCTCCTGTCACATGCCATGGTGCCACTTCGATGGGAAAATTTCCACGAACGATAATACACCCCACCCCACCCCACCCCACCGATGCGGAAAATTTCCACGAACGGCACCACACGCCCCACCCCCCACCCCCACCCCAAATGATACAACGTGATCATCTGCAGCGGAGCATCAACAACGTGATCAACATTCCACGACGATAATACACCCCACCCCCCACCCCCCCACCCCCCACCCCACCCCGCCCTGTCGCGGAGCATGATACAACGTGATCATCTGCAGCGGAGCAACAACCGGTGTGCGGTCATCGGAGAACCTGGGTCCCCGAGGGTATATATATATATATGTATATTATATATATATATCCCATTATTATCATCATTATATACTATCATTATTATTACATCTATATATTTTCCATTATATATATACATATAACATGTATATATATATATATCCCATCACGGGATACATCTCCCTGTCAGCTCTCAATGAGTGGTGGGATCTGCTGACCTTATGTGCTTCATCCACCACCAGAAGACTGAAGTCCTCGAGCTGCAAATAGCCTCAGCTGGCGGGAAAAACGGGCTGCTGAGTCGCAACGGATCCAACTAGAACTGAGAATTTCTGCACATAAGCTGAGTAGTTCAAAGTAAACATCCAAAATGATGATGTACCATCTGGTTATGACTAACATAGCCATGGAAAATCCCAACCACAAATGGAGGTTTCTAGCTGGGAAAATCATCTATAAATGGGTCATTTTTTCCATGGCTATGTTAGTCATAACCAGAGAGGGTAACCATAGAAAACAGTGGATTTCACCCAGAATCGTATCCACGGACCGAAACTGAGACCGAGAGGCCATGATCAATCACGGCTCGAGCAAAAGTCTCAATGGTGCCCACTAACACCTTGCCACAAAGGCAGCTTTCAATGTGTTTTGGGGCTGGATCTTACGGAACACAGGATCCTTTCAACTTTTGACCCCCACGTGTATGCCTTGAAGGATATTGGATTGATATTTTCGGTATAACAACCACGATATATACCAATCTAATACCCTCTGGTAAACTAACATGACTATGGAAAGATCCACCATTTTCAATGGGTAAATCCCCTATTTCTATGGCCGTTTTCAATAGCAAACTGTTAAATTGCCAGAGGGTATATATATATACAATTCTAACATTTTCTTGGGATTGAACCCGATGGTTTGGTCGACTTCGTCCCCACCTTCGCACGGTCGAAGCAGTTGGTCCAAGCAGACTCATTCCACTCGCTGGTGGTGTAGCCTCAGAATGCCCCGACTTTCGTCAAAGGTACCAACCAATGACTGGTTGAGCCACCAATCCTGAAAATATGAAAGTCAATTGGGACCATCATCCTAGTTTTAGGGATGAACATCATCATCCTAGTTTTAGGGATGCAAATTGCAAAAGAACCTGTCCCGCCAGTCGGATGACGTCTGGAAATCTAGAGGCTCTGCGGTGAAGCCAAGGATGGCTACGTTTGGGGGCTGGGGACCCTGGACTAGATTGATAGATTGATAGATTGGGTAGGGAGTATTACTGACACGCGAGTTTTGGATTGATAGATAACGCAAGCTGGTGTGTTGATTTGACTCATTGTTGAATTATACATGCATATATATAAGATAAACAGACAATGATGGATAAACCATTACATAGATCCCAAACGACAATCCCATTACATCATATTCTATACCCATCAATATTCCCAAAAACAAATATGACATTACATCATCACTTTTGTTGAATCCCCATGTGTGTTCCACTGCTGGTATTTTATGTGTATGTATATTATTTATATATATATATATATATTATGGTCGAATATTGAATCATATTGACAGATTATTGATAGATAGTGATTGGACTGTGAATAGTGGTTCACGTTTTCATTCTAGGACTGTAGTCTATGATAGTGATTGGACAATGATGATGATGATAATTATTATGATGATAATTATTATGATGATGTTAAATCAATTTCCCAGCTTAACTTTCTGTCACTATATCACCATTAATCATTATGTCATTACCCATAGAACGTTGTATCACCACTATACTAGACACCAGGATATAGTGTAAGACACACTTGATATAGATACATCTAATATATTCTACTATCGTACGATATTGATAGATAGCGATTGGACATACACAATTCGTATTGAAATTGCCTTTACACCATCATTCTTGTTGGTTTCTCAATATTCCCAGAATATCCCTGTGAAATATCATTATATATATATATAATGTTTCTGGATACTTCATATCAATTTCATGACAGTACTATCATGTACCATCATATCAAATCATCTTCATATTACCCCATATGATGATTTTCACTCGACCAGAGTTTCCTCCAGGCAACCAGTGACTTCCACCACCTCGTCCGTCTCGATGGCCAAGTATTCCTCCTGCAGGGACTGGCGGATCCGTTGCCATTGCTGGTGCGCCAGCAGCCGCGTGGCTGTCCTGGGCAACGGTGCCCCGACGACCCGGGTCATTAAAGAAAACGGCCCACAAAACTCGGGAGGATTACATTTTTGGGGAAAACTCTATACACATCTGTGGTTTCTGCATGATGCATGATGATTATGGCTATTTTAGAGGAAAGCTGGATGATTTCTTACAATTTTTGTCTGATAATTTCATTTTAGAGAAAACATATCAAGAATGTGACTCTCCAAGCATTTTGACCATAGAGTTGTGTCGTCGAAAAGAAATCTTGGCGCTGCCTTAAAGTGGTTCATTCTACGGTATTGGACTTTGACCCATGTTTCATCGCAGACAGCATGCGCGCAAGCTCCCCTTAGTGCCAGACACTAAGAAAGCACATCTCTTGGAAGGTTGCCGCAAAAGGGCATCCTGGCCACGACGTTGGGTCAAAACCATTCATGGTTTAGAACGGTGAGCTACTACGAATGGCCTCAAGACCTATGGGTTAGGATTCTTTACCCGCACCGTTGATGGTGTGCGGATGTTTTGGGCCCCTGCGCCATTACTTCATGGCCAGAAAAACAGGCCACTGTTTGTGCGATGTCGGCCCTGGTGGTCATCCATCTGCTGTTTCAGCCAATGTTGTGGGGGCCAACAAACCTGGCACGTTGGTCACCAAACTGATCAAGCATGGTTATCATGGTTCAACTTGTCCTCACCGTTGGCTTGATTGATTGCATCATGGCCTGAATATAACTTGATTGATACCTGTAGTTTCGTTCTGTTTTTGGCCCCAGTCCCATGCAAATCATTGTCCGTTTTCTGCCACGCCTGTCGTGTTGCTGTGGGGGGGTTCGGGTGGGCGGTTGGGGGGGGCTCTTGATGTTCACGATGGTTAGAAGATGTTGGTTGGAAGCACATATCGAAGGGCCGCCCCAACGTTGGGGGGCATCAAAAAGGATGCAAGTCAGGCAGTGGACAGACTGAAAAGTGGGACGCTCTCACCATCTCAAGATGATCAAACATCTCAAGGGTTGAAAAGAGTAACATACATGGATACGAAGTTCCCATGCATGCCCCTGCCAATGCCAATGGGTCATTTGGCACCACGGCATTCGTGATGGTTCACCTGTGCCCTCGAATGTGCCGACGAGACATGAAGCAGTGCTTCAACGCAGGTGTCTTGTTTTAATCGCGTTGTTTTCCTTTTTCCTTGTCATAGGGGAATGTTGACAAAAATCACACATGGCCCTTTTCTTGGAGTATTTGGATTGTTTGAACTCTTTGTACCGCTGATGTTGCCGGCCGTTCATGACTTGTGGTCGATGGAAGCTGGCAGGCGACATTTTATTCTCTTTGCTGTGCTTTCTACTACTGTACCGTGCCGGCGCGCCACCTTGATGGCCAGCTCTGCCACCATGGTCTTCCCCGCCCCCGTCTCCGCGAAAACGATCAAGTTCTCCTCCGCCGCCCGCGCGGCGGCCTGCGACGGGTGAAATGGGGAGCACCTGATGGTATCGATGTAAAGCCCCAAGAGATTTCAAAAAGGCTGGATATACCACTATCGTTTAGTAAGGTTAGTAGGAGAAATTTCCTCTCTTGTTCGGAGTGATTTGTATTCATTTGTTCTATCTTTTTGGGGGGCTCTATCATTGCCTTCTTCAGTTCTATGTTCCCACGTCCCAGAAGTGAAAATGGTTCATCTGCTTCACTCAGTCTTGTGTATATTTGTTTCAGAGGTGTCTTTTTTAGGAAATGTGCAGGAAACCCCATTCTTTTGAGAGTCAAAACAATAGCTTACTGTATGTTTGCCTCAACTGACTCAACCCAGTTCGACTTGGCCAGTTCGAGCATTAAAATCCATAGTGGATCTTGACTCTGGCCAAGTGTGGAAACATATTACGAATAAAATCAACAGTTTCCGTATATCCGTATATCGGTTTTGTCCAAAAATCCTGGGAAAATAAGGAAGAACTCAAAACCCAATCCATCCTCAAGGCTGTCACTCAAACGCTCCTCTTCTTTCTAGAGCTGCCGGACTCTAACCAAATCAATTTGAAAATGATGGAAAAATTGCCTCACGGCCCCACGGCTGCGCGCCGGAAAGTTGTGTCTTCGGCCGTTCGGCCAACCACTTCAGAGGTTTCGCGGATCAAGACCCGCTCTCCCTGGCACTGGGTGGTATATTTGCGGCGAAACTCCACATCTTCACTGACAATGTGCACCTTGACTCGTCTGCACCGCGCAGCTTGCTGCAGTAGTCGGTACAGCGCCAGGCGTCGATTGCTGAGACAATACGGCCGACCTTGGTGGATGGCGACCCGCATCATTTCCACGTCTCGCTTCCGGATCTCACGAGAAAGCAGCTGGCCAAGCGTGTCACGAATGCTGATCCCGTTGCGGAACTTGATGCTGATGGAATCTTGGCAAAAGAACAGGTCACAGGGCGCAATGAAAAGCTGGGAGCCTGGGACTCTCTCACTGGGGGACGCGGGCAAAGTCTCTATCTGTTGAAGTGTTTGTTCAGGAACTTCAGGCACTTCACTGAGTGCTGAGTCAGTGCAGCCCTGTGCTTCATTGGGTCTGGCGCGCAACAGTATCATATTCTTCGGCAAAACCCTGATGGTCTTGTCCAAAGGGCTGTCCAACCTGACCTCGAATCGCTCGCCAGCTGTGCCTACAACCCGACCATCTGCCCCATTGTACTGCTGGGCAGTCTCCAATCCATGCAGTTGCACCCTGGCACCCACCATGGGCTCCGGCTCTTCTTCTGCCTCTGCCTGAGACCAGTCCCAGGTCTCCAGGAAATCCCGGTCCTCCTCGTCTGAATCATCGGCTTCGTCGCCAAACAGCGCTGCGCGCATGGTTTGCCCCAGCCACGTCTCATACTCAGGGGTCTTCCTTATCACCGTCCCCATGCCGAAGGGCGTCCCCGCAGCTACAGGCATCGGCATGAATTGGAAGATCCCCCAAAGCAACTCAAATTCTGCGAAGGTGAAGGGTTTCAAGCCAGCAGAGGAATGAAATTCGCCATTCACTTTCACTACCCACACATCTCCACGTGCTTGAACACCCAACTTCTCATCCCCCAAAACCACTCGGTTGTCAACCGGTCCTGGCATTGGCATAGGATGACCACTGAATGTGGTGTTGTCAAACAGACTCGTCAGAATGGTAGAAGCTCGCAGATTTTGAGGGGCCAGAAGGCTGGAATCACATCGCAAGTTGGTGGGTTTCAACAGTTTTGCTTGCTGCTGGCCTGCCAACATGACTTCCCAGCGGTCGCGATCCGAATGGTACGTGCCAAGTTGTCCTTTCTGGCCATTCAGCTTCATTCCGGATGCGCTCGTGAGCCCGTAGATGGAAGCTTCTGCGCCTTTCAGGTTTCCAGTCAAACCAGCTTGTACTAGATACAAGCCTTTCCTGCAGTTTGCTTCAGGCTGAGGGTTGTGCATGTGTACATTCCGGCCTTGCATTCACACGTACTTGGAGGGCCCAAAACTATAAAAACAAGGTGGGCCAGAGAAACCAAAAGCAAGACGGCACACAGTGGTGTGGGCAGCTGTGCTCTGCACGAAATCGACGTAAGATCTTTACTGAAACATCGTGCGCGCTGATGGCATCAGGGGCCACAATTCACCACAGCATGCTGTGTCAGCTACGTCTACATTCTTCTGGTCGTTATTTCTGCTAATGTATATAATTAACTCTATCTCATCTTTCTAGTCTCTATTTATTCCTGGGTTCCCTTTTAGTTTGCTTCACCGCAGAGGGAGCGAGGACGAAGCGTGGACGGACAGAACACCGTGCGACATTCAACCTAAACGACAGAGGGAGTTGACCAAAAGAGCATGAAAACTAAGATACGAAGATGACAGATGGTGAGCGATCCAGAAAATGAGACATGATAAAAGATGGGTAAAGACTTCTCTGTACAAAAGCTTCTATGCGTAAAAGCTACTGTGTGTAAACGCGTCTGTGCGTACAAGTTTCTTTGTGTAAAAGTTCCTCTGTGTAAAGTTGTTTTGTGAAAAAACTTCTGTGTGTAGAAGCTTCTGTGAAAAATGTCCTCTGTGTGTGTGTGTGTAAAAGTTTCTGTTTGTGAAAGTTTCTTTGCGTACCAGCTTCTGTCTGTAAAACCTCCTCTGTGTTAAGGGTTTTTTTGTGTAAAAGCTTCTGTGTGTAAAAGCTTCTCTGTGTAAAAGACTTCTCTGTGTCAAAGCCTCTGAGTTTACAAGCTTCTCTGTGTGAAAGTTCCTCTGTGTAAAAGCTCCTCTGTGACTCTGTGAAAAAGCTGCTCTGTGTAAAAGGCTTCTGTGTGTAAAAGCCTCTGTGTGTGTGTGCAAGCTTCTCTGTGTCAAGATTTCTTTGTGTAAAGATTTCTCTGTGTAAAGACTACTCTGTGTAAAAGCTTCTGTGTGTAAAAGTTTTCCTGTGTAAACGCCTCCGTGTGTAAAGACTCCTCTGTGTAAACCCGTCTGTGTGTAAAAGCTCCTCTGTGTAAAGGCTTTTTTTGTGTAAAAGCTTCTGTGTGTAAAAGCTTCTGTGTGTAAAAGTTTCGGTGTGTAAAGGCTTCTGTGTAAAAAAACTTTTTGTAAAAGCTTCTGTGTATAAAAGCTCCCCTGTGTGTACAAGCTTCGCTGCGTAAAAGCTGCTCTATGTAAAAGTTCTGTGGGCCGTAAAGTTGTCTGTTTGTAAAGCCTTCCGTGTGAACGCGTCTGTGTGTACAAGATTCTGCGTGCCCTTTGTGTAAAGGCTTCTCCGTGTAAATGCGTCTGTGTGTAAAAGCTCCTCTGTGTAAAGACTTCTCTGTGTCAATGCGTCTGTGCGTAAAAGCTTCTCTGTGTAATACTTCTCTGTGTAAAAGCTACTCTGTGCAAAAGGTTCTGTGCGTAAAAGGCTTCTGTGTGCAAAAGCTCCTGTGTAAAGACTTCTCTGTGTAAACGCGTCTGTGCGTAAAAGCTCCTCTGTGTAAGACTTCTCCGTGTAAAAAGCTTCTGTGTGTGTGAAAGCTTTTGTGTGTAAAAGCTTTCCTGTGTAAAAGTTTCCTTGCACAAAAGCTCCTGTGTGTAAAAACTTCTCTGTGTAAAGGCTTTTTTGTGTAAAAGCTTCTGTGTGTAAAAGCTGCTCTATGTAAAAGTTTCTGTACGCCCTAAGAGCCTCTATTTAAAAAGCCTTCTGTGTGTAAACGTGTCTGTGTGTAAAAGCTTCTGTGTGTAAATCTCCTTTGTGTAAGGACTTCTCTGTGTAAAAGCTCCTCTGTGTCAAGACTTCTCTGTATAAAAGATTTCTCTCTGTAAAAGCCTCTGTGTGTACAGGCTTCTCTGTGTCAAGACTTCTCTGTGTCAAGACTTCTCTGCTGAAAAGCTACTTTGTGCAAAAAAGCTTCTGTGCGTAAAGGCTTCTGTGTGTAAACGCGTCCTTGTGTCAAGACTCCTCTGTGTAAACGCGTCTGTGTGTCAAAGTTTCTGTGAAAAAGTTTCTGTGTAAAGGCTTTTTTGCTTCTGAGTGTAAAAGCTTCTGTGTGTAAGAGCTTCTCTGTGTAAAGGCTTTCCCGTGCAGAAGCTTCTGCGTGTAAAAGTTTCTGTGTGCAAAGCTCCTCTGTGAGTAAACGTTTTTTGTGTGTAAAAACTGTGTGCAAAAACTCCTCTGTGTAAAGACTTACCTGTGCAAACCAGTCTGTGCATAAAAGCTCCTCTGTGTAAGACTTCTCGGTGAAAAAAGTTTCTCTGTGTAAAAGCCTCTGTCTGTGTGTAAAAACTTCTCTGTGTGAAGGCTTTTTTGTGTAAAAGCTTATGTGTAAAAGCTGCTCTGTGTAAAAGTTTCAGTGCGCCGTAAACGCTTCCGTGTGTAAAACTTCCTGTGTGTAAACGCGTCTGTGTGTAAAAGTTTCTGTGTGTAAATCTCCTTTGTGTAGGAAGAACTTCTCTGTGTAAAAGCTCCTCTTTGTAAAGGCTTCTCTGTGTACAAGCTACTCTGCGTAAAAGCTTCTGTGCGTGGAGGCTTCTGCGTAAACGCATCCGCGTGTAAACACTCCAGAGTAAACGCGTCTGTGTGTAAAAGCTTCTGTGCGTAAATGTTTCTGTGTAAACGCATTTGTGTGTAAAAACTTCTGTGTGTAAGCGCTTCTCTGTGTAAAGGCTTTCCCGTGTAAAAGCTTCTGTGTTTAAAAGCTTCCGTGTGTAAAGCTCCTCTATGTGTAAACGTTTCTGTGTGTAAAAGCTGCTCTGTGTAAAAGTTTCTTTGTGTAAAAGCGTCTGTGTGTAAAGGCTCCTCTGTGTGTACAAGCTTCTCTGTGTATAAGCTCCTCTGTGTAGAGGCTTCTCTGTGTCAGAGCCTCTGCGTGTACAAGCTTTTCCGTGTAAAAGCTCCTCTGTGAAAAAGCTGCTCGTGTAAAAGGCTTCTCTGTGTAAAAGCCTCTGTGTGTGCAAGCTCTCTGTGTCAAGGCTACTCTGTATAAAGATGTATAAAGACTTTTCTGTGTAAAAGCTTCTGTGTGTAAAACCTTTCCTGTGCAAAAGTTTCTCTGTCAAAAAGATTCTGTGTGTAAAGTCCTCCCTGTGTACAAGCTTCTCTGTGTAAAAGATCCTCCATGTAAAGCTCCTCTGTGTAAAGCTCCTCTGTGTAAAAGCTGCTCTGTGCAAAACCCATGCCAACAGCTCCGCATTTTCAGTGCCACTCCCTCCCAGCAGAGCTCTTCCCGAGCTATTTCCCCACCTGTCCGTTCACGCTGATGCATATCCTATGCTTGGGTTCTCGTTTAGTTTGCTTCGCTGCGAAGGGAGCGAAAACCAAGCATCGACGGACAGAACGCCGTGCAAAATGAAAACCCCTCTAGCAAAAAACTTTTTCCCATGCATGTCCGGCATGTCCCTTTTGCCCAGCGTTTAAACAGCGCTTGAAAAGTCTTTGGCACCAGTTTTTTGGGACAATCGGGTTGATGGAATTTGTCCTGAAAAATCCGTGCCAACAGCTCTGCTCTGCTCTTTTAGCCTCGCTCCCTGCCAACGAAGCTATGCATGTCCCATGGCCCAGGGTTTGGAAACTTTGGCAGGTCTTGGGCGCACAGTTTTTCGGAACAATCGTATTGATGAAATGTCCTGAAAAACCCGTGCCAACAGCTCTGCATTTTTAGTGTCGCTCCCTGCCAACGAAGCTATGCATGTCCCATCGCCCAACGCTTGCAAACCATTTGAAAAGTCTTGGGCGCTGGAATTTGTCCTGAAAACCCGTGCCAACAGCTCTGCTTCTCAGTATGTCGCTTCCTCCCAACGGAGCTCTCCCCAAGCTATTTCCCACGATTTTCCCTCCGTCCACCCTGTCGTCGCTTCCATCTCGCTCCTTCCCAACGGAGCTCTCCCCAAGCTCTATTTCCCACAGTTTCCCCTCCGTCCACCCTGTCGTCGCTTCCATCTTGCTCCCTCCCAACGGAGGTCTCCCCAAGCTATTTCCCACGGTTTCCCCTCCGTCCACCCTGTCGGCAAAGTAAACTAAACGAGAACCCAAGCATCGGAGATCCTTTTGGGAAGAAGCCAAGCCATAAGTGAGAATTGAGCCAAGCCACTGAGAGATCCTTGAACCATCATCCAAAGGATCACTCCAGCCATGCTGAAAAGCACGCAGCGGGGTCAGCGGGGTCAGAGACTCGCACCGGAGAATCTGACGCAGAGCTCGCTCAGCTGCTGCCTTCGATTTGGGCAGGGGTCGCGGATAAGGCTTGATACGCTGGTCAACGGGCAGGACAACGCACTCGACCACGCCATCGTGAGATGTATCATCCTCACACTCCGGCTCACCATCCCTCCCAAAGCAGAAGCCAGAATGAAGGCTGCAACAGGACGGAGCTGAACACAAGAAGCCTTTACATAGGATGCACTGACACAACTGTCGACCAGCTTGCTCAACGTTGCCACAGCTCCAGCAGCAACGCTCCTGCCCAGTGAGCTGAAAATCAGCTGCTGGCCGACCTTTTTCTCGCCTCTTGGCCTCCTTCTTCTCGTGCTTGGCCTTGATTTCCTGATCCTTCGCAACAATCTCCTCCTGCTTAGATTTGGGCAAGTTCATGAAGCTTTCCAACTTTTCCATGGCCGCCACTGAGCCCTTCTCTCGCTCATTGCCGATGATTTGTACCTCCAAACCACTTCGATGCCCCGGTAACTTAGGAAGCAGGCCGAGGACCTCCACTAAAGCAGCCATCGCCACCTCCTCGCGTTCTTGCCCGGGAAACTCCACGTCCATCGACCCTGCCGTTGCTTGCACCTTCCCGCGCAGCTTCCAGCCTTCCTCACGCCCTTGGCGTAGCACCGGAGACCATGACGTCATAATGGCATGTCTGACGCAGGACCAGAAAATCCCTGGATCCTCCGCGGCCAACACCTGTGGGTCGAAGGAAGAAGATTTGCCCGTCAGGGCGGTCAACGCATCGTCCCAGCTCTGCCGGCCCATCATTTCCTCCAGCGTGATGTCTCTGAGCCGATCCTGAAAAACGATGCAGCGGTTTTCGAAGATCCCAGGCCAGCGAACTTCCAAGAGATCCTCGTTTTCCATCTGGCCATCCTGACCAACTGCTCGGTGGAGCACGAAGGACCCGTTCTTCACGGCTTCAATTCTCCTCAGGATTGCAGTCTAAAACCGACCCGATCTCCTTTTGTAATGGAAATTAAACATACCATTGGAAAACTGTTGTCATCACAACAAAGTCATGAGTTTGTGTTTTTGGCGAAGATCTAGTTCCAAGTATGGAAACCCAAAGGCCAAAACTAAGACCTGAGTCTAAATCCATCAGAGCGTCATGGCTGCAACCTCCCCTGGGGGTCTCATCTTTGAGTTCTCTTTCGTCATGTAACGCCCTGCATCGTGACACATTGTGAAGCTGGTGTGAGCCCGCCGCCTCAATAATCCATCCTTCAATAGGGCAACAACCTGCTTTGAAACCAAACTGCCCAACAAAGGCTCTAAGAACGTCATCGCCTTCTTCAAATCCACTGGTGCCCTGCCAAAATGATTGCAAGTTAATACCCACAAAAGATGCGTAAGCTCCACTTCGAGCTCCATATCCTTGGGGAAGTCGGCCAAGACCTCTCCCAGTGCCTGGGCCCAGTGTCAAGATCCTATCATCCAAACTAGCATTAAGACTCCACATAACGATACAGAATGAGCCCCCCCACAGAAGATCTTATTAAATCCACCTCTGTTGATTGCCAGTCCCTTCCACAAGAAACAAACCTTGTTGCTTGGGGTTGGTGGTTTCATCAACACACAGAGATTGAACCCCAACAGTCACTGTGCTGTTGGGAATTGAGATTAGGATCGCGATCTCATTTTAGGGATTCATTTTGAAAAAAGAACGTAATTGAAAAACCGAATCGTTTGATTGGGCAAATCCACACATTGTGTATTTTATCCCCAGTGCCCTTGGCTCACCCCGCATTGGACTTCACTCTACGCACCAAGTTGCCTTCAGCAAGGCCTCGGTATGCGAGGTGCTTCCAGGCACCGGCACGTGCCCATGGGAGGAAGGCCCAGCCAGGAAGGCATAGCCAGCCCCCATGGTGCCAGACGCAGTTTTGGAGGTTCCTCGGCAAGGCGCTTGGGGGACCCTAAAAATCACAGTTATTGGTGAGGTTCAATGGGAAAAGCAACGGTTTTGGAGCATCCAAATTTTTAGAAACACCCAGATTTAGATCGCGTTCTCCTATGTGAAAGCAGGCAAGAAAACACTTCCAGATCGCTTGTTGCACGTCTCAGAGCTGATGTGCAGCAAAGAGACGGGTCCAGCTGGTCATGATCTGCACTTTCGCCATGACAGGATTCACCAGGCTACAGATGGCTACAGTGGGACTTTCTAGATGTCAAAACTTGCAATTTTGAACATGAACTTCAGATTGCTGGATATGCCACCCCAAGGGGCGTTTGTTGTTCAACTGGGACAGTGCCGAAGATATGAAGGAAATGATGCTGATGAACTACCCACCAATATCTGCCATACTCAGCGTGCCGTTTGCATGCCACCTCGAACGAACCGAACTGTTTCTCATTTTTGTCACCTCTTGGTTATTGCAAATCTGTGGCACGAAAACCATCCCATGGCTTGCCACGTTCCACCAAGGGTTTTAAGATCACAAACCGGCGCTGGCACCTGGTTTTGCCGAACGAACAGCTGAGCATGGTGAAATTTGGGGCACCCACTACCCTAACATACCCAAATCAAAACCTTCATCCCACTTGCACCAATTTTTGCCCCTAGCCTCCGTTTGCCACTGCTGCGGTGACTTTCCCATGGCGTCGTCTGTGACTTCTAAATGATCACAACTTCAGCTGGGTTTTTCTTCTGACTTCGTCACGAAGGCCCGAGTTGGTCCAGGAAATGTAGATTTATAGTTGGTTGCAGGTGGTTTGCTGTACAAGCGTCACTTTCAATATGGATATGATATGTTCATGAATTTCTCAGAATTTGCGGTGGTAATACGTTTGTTTTTCCTGCATGTCTCATCTCTTTTTGAACCATGGAAGTACCCCTCTTCATGCCTGGACCATCGGAAATGGCGTTAGAGGAAGATATTTCCCACAATCGTTCCTTCGGCAAGCCGTCCTAGCAAGGAATGGTTGATGACTCACGCCTGTCTTGCGCGAAAGATCTGAACCTTCCGGTCGAGTTGTGCGGCCTCAAAAACAAGATGCAGCCCGCGAACCCGAATGCAATCACATAGAACACTTGTGTGAAACAAGTTATTCGAACAGTCTTGTACATTTTTCCCTGTTACTGTACCAGTGCACTGTAGACTGTGGAATGCGGAAGAGGGTGGGGTGCAAAGTGTGGAGTGTAAAGTGTAGAGTGTGGAGTGTAAAGAGTAAACTCTGGAGTGTGGAGTGAAGAGTGTGGAGTGTGGAGTGCAAAGTGTAGAGTGTAAAGTGTGGAGTGTAAAGTGTAGAGCGTGCAGTGTAAAGTGTGGAGTGTGGAGTGTTAAAGTGTGGAGTGTAAAGTGTAAAATGTGGAGTGTGAAGTGTGGAGTGTAAAGTGTGGAGTGTAAAGTGTAGAGTGTGGAATGTAAAGTGTGGGGTGTGGAGTGTAGAGTGTAAAGTGTGGAGTGCGGAGTGCAGAGTCTAGAGTGTAAAGTGTGGCGTGGTGTGTAAAGTGTGGGGTGTGAAGTGTAGAGTGTAAAGTGTAAAGTGCGGAGTGCGGATTGTAAAGTGTAGAGTGTGGAGCGTAAAGTGTAGAGTGTAGAGTGTGGAGTGTAGAGTGTGGAGTGTAAAGTGTGGAGTGTAAAATGTAGAGTGCGGTGTGTGGAGTCTGGAGTGTGGAGTCTAAAGTGCGGGGTGGAGTGTAGAGTGTGGAGTGTAGAGTGTGGAGTGTGGAGTGTACAGTGTGGAGTGTAAAGTGTAGAGTCTAAGGTGTAGAGTGTGGATTGTAATGTAGAGTGTGGAGTGTAGAGTGTCAAGTGTAGAGTGTAGAGTGTGGAGTGTAAAGTGTAGAGTGTAAAGTGTGGAATGTAAAGTGTGGAATGTAAAGTGTAAAGTTTAAAGTTTGGAGTGTAGAGTGTGGAGTGTAAAGTGTGGAGTGTAAGATATCACCAAGTGCCACACGTGAGAATATCACCAAGTGCCACGCCTGCCACGCAGAACGACAGGACAACCTGCTTGGAAACCTTTGAAAAGGAGAGGTTTTGCAACGTCCCCCATAGACACGGCGACGGCAGAAGAAAACCAGAGAATCGAGACAAGACATGCAGGAGCCTCAAAACGAGCATTTCGTGCGAGACTTCCTCCAATTTTCAAACTTTGTAGCTTCAAAATTGACGTTTTCCTACGAGTTTTCTCATGAACCTCCAAATTTGCTACTTCAAAATCGATGTTTCGTGCGAGCCTTCCTGGCAGGCGTGAAACGAGGCTACGCAACATTCGAAACCTCCAAAAGTGACCCCTTTTGCAGAACTCGCCATAGGCACCGCCATACGGGCCTCACGCGACCGCCCGCAGACGGTTGCGGACGGTTGCGGATGGTTGCGCAACGTCGAGCGAACACACCCTCAACCCCCAGACCCCCGGAGTGAAACGGGAACCCTTGCCACGCAATCGGGAATCAAATGCCACAACTCTGTAAGGGTACCTTACGCACAATATCCCCATGTCAGACCATCTTGGCAGGCATCCACTTTCTTTTTACGTAGCGGACCTGTGTTATCTGATGAGACCTGGTTCGAAACCACCCTGAAACACAACCTCAGCCTGCGCCCGCTTTTTTTGGGCCAGAAGATCTGTTCAAAGGTCCTTCCGCGGTTCAAAGGTCAGTCCGCAGCCGAAAAGTCTGTGTGCTTGCAACAAGTGGAGATCTCTTATAATAGACACCTTGTATAAATAGCCTTACAAAGGGATCTTGCACAGCAGTTTCTACAGAGAAGCTGTCAAGGAGATCTTGCACACAATCTTCTACATAGGTTTTCACAAAGGGAACTTGCAGAATCTAACTTGGTATCTCTTCGTCATGCTCCTTGCAACACTGTTTGGGGTCTCTTGCCAGGATAATTGAAAATATTGAAAGTTTCGTCATGGTTCTACTTCTGCCCTTCCAGAACGTGTGTGTGTGTGAACCATCTGAAAAGATGTAAAACTTCTAACTTTGCAGGGGGTGCCAGGGATCATTGCAAGTCTGGCACTAACAAAGACACTTGCTTTGATCTGTGATATCAGAAAGGGACGCCTTTCTGACGTACCTGCCAATCTTTTTCTGTGATGGGAAGAGGCTCAACCCAAGAACCTCCAAGTCGTTTTTCCTTTTTTCACAATCGCTCAAAACAATACCAAATCATTCAGTTTTTCAGTGCCTGTACGGTTTTCGCAATCTGAACTACTGCTGACTTCGTTAGATGGAACAGTTGCTTCTAGCAAGGGCGTAGAAAGAATTCTTCTACACTGTTTCTCACGCCTTGTCATCCACTAATGCCTGTCAGGTTTAACTGAAGTGTTTTTTGCACGTGCGATGCATTCCACATCAGTAATTCGATAAGATATTTCTGAGCAAGTGTGTGACTCATGCCGGATCCGTCAAGGTGGTATGAGCCCTTCGGGGAAAGCCTTTCTAGGCTAACTGTGGACAGTAAACCGACGTCTGAATTTACACTTTTGAATTAGTAATTCGTCTAAGTAAAGTGAACCGTTGGCCCTTTTTCATGGTCTCACTTGTCGATGTCGATGTGTTGAACAACTTGCCGCTGTACTGGGCTTCAACCTTTTTAGCTTGACCGTCACCTGCATAGCCTGACGCCACGCCAACATTTTCCTTTTTCATTACTGCTCGAGAGTTTGCCAGACAATTGCAACATGAGGATTCCAGGCACAGGCCATGCTTGCAGGTTTGGTGACTCTTTCTTTTTATGGTCGTTGGTGAGGTTCAATTGTGCACTTAATTCACTTGAATACTGACAGCCGTCGATGGGGTTGACATGAATACCGAGGGCCTTGAGCCTTATCACGAACCTTGCATGAATTGTGGATGCATCATGTCATTAACTAGTTCCCCATGGGTCCCTATTTCATGTGTTCTTGCGTTCTCCTCTCTCCAGGTAGGTTTGGCTGCATGCTGAGGTTGTTGTTGGTTTTCGCCGTGTCAGGTTGGTTCAGGCGCTTCTGTCCTCCCCCTCCTCCGCTGGTCTTGTTCCATTTTCCGTCGGCCTCCGCTTTTCTTTTCCCTTGCCTTTCCAGGGTTGCCCGTTCTGGGCTAGGTTTCATGTGTTGGTGTTTGCTCTTTCCCTCTTCTTTTGCGTTCCCCTCTTTGCGTCCTGGTTAAGTAACTTTCATCTCATTGTCATCTTCACCTCATCTTCATTTCCCTTCCTCTTCATTTTCATCTCATTGTCGGGACCTTAATGTCCCACTCTCCTGCGGGAGGGTGTGTGTGTGAACCATCTGAAAAGATGTAAAACTTCTACTGTAACTTTGCAGGGGGTGCCAGGCATCATTGCAAGTCTGGCACTAACAAAGACACTTGCTTTGATCTGTGATATCAGAAAGGGACGCCTTTCTGACGTACCTGCCAATCTTTTTCTGTGATGGGAAGAGGCTCAACCCAAGAACCTCCAAGTCGTTTTTCCTTTTTTCGCAATCGCTCAAAACCAATACCAAATCATTCAGTTTTTCAGTGCCTGTACGGTTTTCGCAATCTGAACTACTGCTGACTTCGTTAGATGGAACAGTTGCTTCTAGCAAGGACGTAGAAAGAATTCTTCTACACTGTTTCTCACGCCTTGTCATCCACTAATGCCTGTCAGGTTTAACTGAAGTGTTTTTTGTACGTGCGATGCATTCCACATCAGTAATTCGATAAGATATTTCTGAGCAAGTGTGCATGGGCAGTATATCGGTGTAGCGACCCAATAACAAGTTCTTTTTTGGTGGCCGACGGCGTTTAAAGGATATTCTTCCATAAGTTAATTCAATGTTCTTCAGGCGTTTTTGCATCACATTCAAATGTTATATATTGCTCTTCAAAGGCACTGAGAAACAGGTGTGCAAAGAGACGCTTTGATCATTTCCTCTTTGAGACAGCCAAAGATTGTGTGTAAAAGGAGGATTGACATCAACCCCTCAAGAGCTCATCCTTTCCCGAACTTGGAAACAGCCTTCATGCTCGCGGCGAGCCCCAGGCAAAAAAAAGTGAAACAGGCAGCAAACACGGAACCAAATCTTTGCGAGGTGTCTCCTCCTCTCCTCCTCCCCGTCTGTCTATGAGACTGGCTCTGGCACATTGGCTATCACACTGACTCTCTTACACCCTGAATCTCTCCGACAAACTCTCGCAACTGGCTCTATCACATTGACTTGACCAACGCGACAGAATTGACTCCATCAACTGACTCTACCAAATATTGGCTCCGTCGCATCGGCTGCGCTTCTCTATTCTATTCATTTGCATTCTGTTGGTTTCTATTTTTCTTTTCTATTTCATTCATTTCTGTCTAGTCCAATCTGCAGTATTCTCTTCCAATGTATTATAATTTGGTCCGGAATTGTTTGGGGATTTTTTTCCGTTTAGGGTTATTGTTTTTCCGTTCAGGATTTTTGTTTTGAATGTCCTTCCATTTTCCTTGCTATTTGCAGCATTTTGGAGCTGAAAGGTGCCATTTCAACGGTATTTGCAGCATTTTTGAGCTCGAACCTCCCACCAATTTCTTTACCTGGCGGACCTGTGTCATCTGATAAGATCTGGTCCGAAACCACCCTGCAACTCAGCCTCAGCCTGCGCCACTTTCTTCGAGGCCAGCAGATCTGTTGAAAGGTCATTCCGCGGCCGAAAAGTCTGTGCGCTTGCAACATTGCAAGTGCTAAGGGCAGTTGCTTCCAAAGCAACATGCTACGGTTGGTACTTACTGTTGTACCACCAGGCATGTCCAGAAACAGTCTGTACCCCCAGAATGGCAAGTTTAACAGGGAGCTAATGGTTTTTGTTGGCCCATGTTCAGACCCACAATTGGTTTCAGTGCCTGGAGCACTTTGGGGCCATCCACCAGCGCATTCAGCTGATGAAAAACGGCCACGACTGGTCTCCCGGACACTGCGTCTTGTCCGCAAACTGCCGCAGGGCGTGATAGGCGCCGCCGTACTGATCCAACATATCGTCGTGGAACTGATGATACTTCTCAGCCTTGGCGTTTGTCCAACGTCATACCGCCAGTGTCATGATCTTTGCCATTCCCAATAGACACATGATCCAAATGGGATCCAAATGATTCAAGATTTCAAAGTGCAAATAGAATGGGGAACATGCCGTCCACTTCAGGATGGTGATAGATTTTCAATCAGGACATTGACCAACAACTGGTCTTGAGTACGCCTTAGCATCAACCTCGAAAAAAAGTTAAAAGCATCCAAAAACACTCCTGCCTTCAGTTTGGGCTTGGTTGAGCTTCGACACCCAAAAAGACTATTTTGTTAAAATTCGAAGTGTCGGAGTAAAAACATGGCACCCATGAAAATACACACTAGAGACAAGTAAAAACAATGAAAGTACAGGGGATCATACTGAAAATGAGCCGAGCCACCACATGAGCAGGGAACTGCGTGGTGTCGTAGACCAGGACGGCATCAGTGCCCAAGGTGTCTGCGTCGTTGCCTCGACCAACGAAACCCTTTTTTTTGGGGGTGAGATTTTATCATCCAAACACAGTTCCTGTTGTGCCTTCCACAAATTCCAAGGACTTAAGGACCATCTGTTGGTCAAAATAAAGTTGTCTGGCAATTTGTTTGGCATCCCAAATATTATTTTTGATTCACCAAGTCGCATATCAAATGTACTTTCAGAGCTTTGTATGAACCAGCTGCTGGGGTCTTCCAAGAGAACCGCAGAATCCCGACAAGTCTCAAACTTGATTCATTTCTGTTCAAGTATAAACCATTTCAGGCCCCAATGTCTTTCTCTTCACCCTGACACACTGAACTCAGCATCTCCAGATCTTCAAATACGGGTGTGTCTGAAAATTTGGAGCCCTCGTTGGTTATCCCATGAAATATCCCATGAAACATCCCTGCGGTTGGTACTATGGTGAAGTCGGGTGTAAGTCCCCCATTTCTTACTGATTATCCCATCAATACCTCCATTTAGTTTGGCGATTACCCAGCCAACCATGTTTGATGACCAGATGGTATAAATAAATATGCCATTAATATTCCGATATTATATCCCACTCATCTTCCAATAATCAACGCCGTCAAATCCCAATAATGTGAAAGCATCTTTAAAAAAGTATTAAATTCCATTGAATTCCATTAAATCCCATGAAATCCCATCAAAACGCATCAAAACCCACCAAAACCCAATATATCTCTCATATTCCAATACTAAATCTCAGTTTCCGCTGGGTCCATCATCTTTTCCCAGCCTTTGCCCTCAAGAACTTTGGCCGTCGCAGCAGCGCGCAGCTCCGGCATCAGGGAGGAATGGATGCCACCTGGGAGCCCAACCACCTGAGGTGCCAATGACTCATGGATTACCCCTGGGATACCCTCTGGTAAATTAACAGTTGGACCCTGAAAATAGCCTAGTTTTAATGGAAGCTAATCTTCCAACCCCAACAACTGCCAGGGTCGAACTGTTAATTTACCAGAGGGTAATGCTGGATCATCACTACCGAAACTATGGCAGGGAAAATGAGTCAACAAAAATGACTCGTGTAGACAACCCAGGTGATGTGTTTCTTTGCCGGTGAAGTAACCTGCAAAAATTGATGATTAAATGAATCAAGGGGTAAAATCGAATGTCGCAACAATGAGTACTAGCTGGCAAGAGCAACAAATTTGACAACAGCGACCTCAGGTGTATTTCATAACCTCTCTGCGATCTGCCTTTTGGGAGCCTGTGTGACCAAAAAACCCAGGTGGGTTCTGTGGGTAGGGAAGATCACCAATTCCAACAATTGAGCAAGTCACGTCCCATGCAAAAATTGTTTCGAACATTGGTACTAACCCATTTTTGGACAAACCAATGTGTGCTTTGGTGATAAACCTGGATGCCTCCCCAGCGTCAAGGGCCAACCAAGCTGATTTGAGGCCATAAAAATGATGCGCCCAATTTATCGTCATTGTGGCTATTATCATCATGATTATTATGACAATGACTATGTCATTGTTGTTGCTACTTACTACCAAGTACTTTCTATTGTCTGCCATATTACCAGTACCGTCCAAATCCAACTTCCAACAAAAAGCACTTAGTTAGATCTTGGATTGGAATTTGCTGGTTATCAGGACTAATCTGCTATGTAATGATTATCTTCCAACAAAAGCAGTTGGCCTTTCTATTGTCCATATTTAAATTATCTATTAACTCGTCACTTATCTCTTATCGAGCTATCTAGATATCAGTCATCGACCATACATCTATAAATCTAACATAAATTGAGTATACATATATACAGGTTATCGAGTATAGACATGTATATACATTGCTTATATCACCATAGTATATACATATATATAAGGTATCTGTACAATGTATTTTTTTTACGGTATATAGTATATAAGGTATAATACCAACTATACCTATATATATATCCCCAACCATAAGGTACCTGGTATCCCAGCTTCGCCCAGGGACGGAGCGGTACTCGCCTCCCACGTCCTGGACATCGCGCCTCACTCCTGGGACGAGGACGGCGAAAAATGGGGAGGATATGGCTTTCATATAGCCCCATCATAGGGGTTATATCTGCTTATGTCGTAGCTATATGTAATAGTTATATATATATACATATATATATATATACATATATATATATACATATATATATATATACATATATATATATACATATATATATATACATATATATATATACATATATATATATACATATATATATATATACATATATATATACATATATATATATACATATATATATATATACATGTGTATATTTAGATATACTTATATACGTCTTTATTCATATTATATACTGGAATGGGTCAAGACCCCGCGAACCCTTCTGTTCAGATCAAAATAGCTGTTGCTTCTGAATGTTCATCCAATGATTCATCCAAAAAGAAATATGGTATATAGAATCAGTGTTGATCCATCCGTATAATCCCATGTTGTTTGCAGTTACAGCCCTGGCTGTATCCATTAAATACCCCCCAGCTGCACACCCAAGTGGACATTGCACCCGTAGGGAAGGCGTCCTTTGGGGCACAGCTCCCAGAACTTCTTGGCAAAGCTGCCAAAAGCCGAAACGGGCCTGGGCGGCAGCAAGCTGCCTTGACCGGTGGGGCCTCCATGGGCTGATTTTAGCCGCTTCAAAATGACTAGAAAACTCATCTGAGCGACGTCCAAACATTTTGGGTGAAACATTCCCTAGGTGGTTTGCTAATGCCCTGCTCAAAGTTTCACTTTAGACTTTGGGTGGGTGGGTTAATAGTTTCACTATTTGGGTTAACCATAATTAACCATAATTTACCAGAATTAACCATAATTAACCAGAATTTACCAGAATTAACCATAATTTACCAGAATTAACCATAATTATATTAACCAGTGTCAACGTTCCACTAGGCTGCCGGGCACGTTCATTGAAACCACTTCCGAGTGGCCAAGCTGTCCGTAGTCTGCCTGGTCAAGCGAGATCCAGCAAGAGGATTCGATGTTTTTTGGGGGTCCCCCCAAAAAAAAATAGAAACCCTCCAGTAAATTAACATAGACCCTGAAATTCATCCATTTTTAATGGAAACTAGTCTTCCAACCCCTATCTGCCAGGGTCTATGTTAATTTACCAGAGGGAAAGTTTGTTGAAGATGGTACAAACGGCAGTGTGTCAAAACCAATAGTACCCCTGTAGTTCACATCAAAATAGCTGGGATTTATGGATGTGAATAACCCCCTAAAAATGGTATTAATAGGTATTGATCCATAGCCAAATGAATACAAATGATGGTTTTCCAATCATTTCCAGGTTACCAACTTCTCTATGTTGGAATTGCTATACAGTAAGTCGGCATCCGCTAACTTGGCTGATGAACTTGCCTGATCAGCTGGTGCCCCACAAATCCCGCCTTCCCCATGGAGTTGTGATAGCACACAAGGCCTGGACAGAAGGCATTTCGAAAGGGCCGAGAAACATGCTGCATTTCGAGTTTGATGCATTTCGGCCGTTGTTGTTGCATGCTGCAGGAATGTGTTTCTTCTCAAGTTCCAAAGCACACCGGACCTACTGAAAATCAACAAATCCACGACTCGCGGCTAATGTTCTCACGCCGAGAGACCTCCCTGCGTTCCGAGCGTTCCGCCGGCATAGGCAGTTCGAGCAGTCAGGTCACCTCAGCTGGATGTTGATTCCCCATGACCCATCCCCAGCAGTCAGATGCTCCCTTGCTGCCCAGATGGGATAGGTTAACCGGTTAACCAGCAGAAATGGGACACTGTTTGAGAAATAATGGGGCTGATCTGGGAAGGAAATGTAGCAGATTAAATATCAGTGGAATAGAAATAACTCATCTTAAACGCGGTGGTGTTTGTCCATTGGCCGTGTGTTTGTAGCAAGATGAAAACGATAACTCCTTCAATCTATCTGTCAAGTCATTGGCTTCTCTGAACGGGATGGCTAAGTCCCTCAAGATTCAAAAGAAAGGCTTCCACCAACCATCCAATGGTTCAATCGCCAGGTCCATAAGTATGTGGGATACAAACTAAGATAAACTATTATGAGTACATTGAGAAGTATATGGGAAAAGCACATATTATGTTGAGACATGTCAAGACCTGCGGAACTACCAATGGTCAAGAGCCAAGTCCCATTCGGCCCAGGTTTTTTCTGAGTTTCAGACTGCCTGTGCGACACAACTTGGTCATCTCCTCAACCCTGGCAGGGCGGCGAAGCAAGCCACGCATCACAGCATCGGTCGCTGTCGCTGGGCTCCGCACACGAACTCGTGCTGCACGTGCCAGAAGCATCCACAACCGAAGTAGACTTCCACCTCGGGATCATCACCTGAGTTGTGGGTCATGTCAGCCGGGTTTGGCAAAAATCCACCTGGCTTTCAGCTGATTTTCCCTCTTAAACTGGCACATCCCACTTGGATCCTGCACATCCCACTTGCCAACAACGGTTAGCAACTGGATGAGTCAAGGGACTTGTTCACTCGAACCACTTGCTACCAGTTGCTAATCTTCGAAGTGTCCCCAGTTGCAGAAACCAATTCCCTGGTGTTTACCCATTACGCCTCTGCATAGCTTCATGTTGAAAGGAATTCCCCAATAAGTTCGTCTAGAACATGATTTTCTGAAGCATTGGATTTGTTCGTACCATATCCTGAGAATCCACATTTTTGGAAAAATTCGCTGTGGGAAGCAAGGCGCAAAAACCTCAACCGGACCTTGATTCAAATTTTGGAATATTTTTGTGTTCAGAAATGGGGAATTTGTTGCCCAAAATTTGAAGATTGGTAGTGATTGGTTGATAGACATAGCAAAAAAATGTGATACCTTGGTTGGGTATTAATTTTTGACCGCAAAATTTCCCTCTACCGCTGGATGTTGTGTCCTCGTCTATGTTTGGCCATCGATTGGCCCCTGAAAGAAACGTGACAAGAACGCCTTGCCCGCAGTGTTAGTTTCATTCAAATTCCTTGAAGTGAATTGGTTGGGAGGGAAACCCATTTTGACGCCCAAGTATGATCTTTGCAACCTACAACCAAGATAAATACATTCCCATATGACAGTAAATACAGCAAACGAATGTAGAAAATATCGAAGCCCTTCGAATATCGATTTTCTGCTAGCACATCCAAAATCTTGCAGTCACGGTGAACGACTGGAAAAAAATTGGGGGAATGTTGTTTTTGCTAGGTTTACACATTGAAACAAAAATTAGAACTCTTGGAAATGCTGCCCAACGACTATGAATGGATGCATCTGGGTGTGCACATGGTTCTGGCAGCATTGCAGATGCATCGGCGCAGCCAGCAAGGAACAACGATGGCAACCTGAGTCAGGGACCAACGGGTTAAAATGTTTAGTGCCCTTCAGTTAAAAGAAAACCCCGATCAATAGCAATGTTCATTGGGAAAAACATCCATATCACGGGGTTGTTCCATGGCCAAGTTTGATCACTGGAACGTTCAGTTTTTGTTTGATTGTTCCTTGATTTGGTCTGGTTGTTGATTTTTTATTGATTTTATTTGGTCTTTCAGTTTGATCAATTTTCAAGGTTAAGTTATTGTGGTTCACTGATTGAAAAGTGTTGACGAAGATGTGATTAACACAGCAAAACACTCCCAGGAAAAAAAAAAACGTGCGCAGACAAGGTGCAAAAAAACAAAGGAACAGGCAAATTTTGTTGACATGGCGATGAAGTACGCTGAACTTAGATATTTTTTTTTGAAGCTGCGATGCAAACATGGACTGCAGGGTTTAATGCAAACAATGCTGTTCATCCAAGCATTTGAATGATGTTGGGCTGGAGCCACACAGCAAATCAGCTGAATTCAGGAAAATTCGTGCCTACACAGGAGAAGATGAGAACGAAAACCATTTTTTTCCACATCTGTTAAGAATGTTTTCTTTAAGGCTAACGTGGAACCCGACGTGGTACTTCCGTATTGTCTTCCCGTTTCGTTTATTGTGTTATATTTTGGGAGGGGACTTTTGTGAGCGGCAGAAAATTGAGATAAACAACTATATATTTTTGCAAATCCTAAATAAAATTCATCCAGATTAAAACCGGTTGCACCCGAAAACATATACTTTTCACCCAACTATGTGCTTAGAACTGCCGTAAATCAATGAGGTTGGGTCAACTCAGGAAGTAATTGTAAGGAAATAAGTATAAGTACCCAAAGGATCTTAAATAATTATAAGTACACGCAATTCAATAAGATTAAGACATATTGGCACCATAATATCCTTGAAACAATTGTTTCCCACTATCCTTTGCAAAATATCATGTGTTTTTTTCTAAAAAAATGCAGGGTGTCCTTAAAGAAGCACAGCCTTCCCTTGAAAGGGAAACATGTTTATATAATATGTAGCATGAATATGCATGAATTTAACATAGCGCATTTTTGTTCTCAATTGCAATATTAAATGCCACAATGAAGTATCCGCAGTTTGTCAAAAAAAATCATTAAATTGCAATTTTTCTTTTGGGGAAGTACAATGTGTTTTCAACAAGCAATACACCTACCAATGATGCAAAAATACTCTAACAGATGCAGCATTCGTTTTTGAAAAAACGCATTTTTTTCCAAACGATATGGTATCCCTTCAAGCAAGCAACATTCCTGTGCCATATGTAACGTGTTTTTCAATTTACAGCCACTTTTTCAATAAACTGAAATCATGTCACAAAGTGCAATATCCAATGCATCAACGCAATATTCCTTGAAAATCATGTCAGATGACAATGTTGCTTACATGGCCCCACCAAAACACAATATAGTATCCTTTTCAAGAAACCATGTTCCTGCAAAAACAAAAGTATTTGCACACATGCAGTATTTTTGTTGAAAATGTTCAGTTTTCCTTGTTTGCTGTTCCTTAAGAAACGTTCCTTCCCTAAAGGAATTATTTCATTTATGGCGAAGAAATCTGCACTGTTCTAACGCCTTTTCTTGAACCAGGGCCTACGATGCAATCCACAGATTTTCTGTGTCATGACTGTCCATGTGATTTCACTTGACAAAATGCTACCTGATGTCGAAATTCTGAATCTCTCGTTTTGTGCGTGTCATCCATGATGCAGTGGCCATGCAGTACTAATGGCAGGTATGAGTACTGTCCCAAAAGATTCGAACTCCTCCTTGGTCGGGTGAGCTAAAGCTGTGCCGACCACTTCCAGTCAAAAGTTTTCTCACGGCCATTGCATTTCACTCACGCACCACAATGTAAAAAAAAAAATCTCTTTGAGAAAATCGCCTCGTGCAAATTTCATCCACTTCCAACGTTCATCTCTCTCTGCACTGACCACAGTAAACCAAATACCTTTCAGCCAGGTTTGGAAGATGAGGACGGATTTGGTCTGCCATGCCCTCTAGATTGTTTGCAAACTCATTGAATAGATTCACTCGAACCTCGTTGGTCATTGGGATTGTGCCATTCATGGCGTCCAGCATCATCAAAATGCACTGTTGAAATTGAGCAGCCATCGGGTAATCATGCCTGGCAAGGCAATCATTGAGCTCGTTCCTGAAGATGTCCACTGCTTGAGTTAGATTTCCTCTTGGCTCTATGACTTCGTCATTTTCAGCCGTCTCACTCTCGCCACCTTCAGAAATTCTGCCCATATCTGTGTCTTCACCCTGTGCTACTCCTTGGTTTTGCTGTCGCACAGTTGCTAAGTAGCGGTCTGCGCCCATCACTCGGCGTGAGACCAAATTGGCACGCTCCACCTCATACATGTGGCGGCTCGAAATGGCGTAAACCCGCCAACCTGAACTAGGCCAAAGTGGATCTGCTCAGTTGTATCTGACAGCATCTCAACTCTCATTGCAACTCGTTGTGGCCTTCTCTCAAACGTCTCATGGCCTCATTCAGACCTGTGATTTGTCCTTGGAGCACACCAATTTCCTGGACATGTCGGTCCACCAGATTGTCCAAGATGCCAATGTCCGTAAAGTGTTGCTCCCTGAGACCCTCATATTGGTCTTGCAGCCTGTTGTACGCAGAGTCAAGAATTGCCATCTGAGTATACATATGTTCATATGATTCAAAGGCATCACGGGCTCTTTTGTAAGTCTTGTATAAGACCACCAAAACTCCCAGAAACATCCCAAAGAAGAACGCCAGCAAAATGTAGGAGACATTGACTCCTCCTGAAACTTGGATATTGGGCTCGATCATGCATGTTCCATAACTTGAACTGTCATCACAATCCAACATTGAAATTGCAGCCACACCGGAAGCGGTGCTTGACTCAAGGCCCATCATCACCAAAACTCGGGTGACATGTTTCACAAGTTTCGTCAATTGCTTGTTTCCTCCATGGCGTTGACACTGTCGCTCATACTCTGGCATTCCCACAACGAAGAAATCTGGGCTTGAGGCTATGTTGAGTTCGTGGAGAAGTAGTTGGGTTCTCTGAACTCCCAATGCTTTGGTTCCAATATCACTCACATTCCAAATTGTAGGGATCTGTGAAAGTTTCGAACAGCATCCTGAATCCAAAGCACCTTCCCTGACAGATGTTTGACTTTTCCCGTGCCCTGCCTCATCGCCAATTGGAGGCCAGATGAAGAATCTGTAAAAAGCACATGCTCCACCTCCACATTGAAGACAAATTCCAAGCAACGTTTCAGAAAAATGCCATCGCTAAGTGTACTGATCATAGCATGCAGCTCACTTTCACAGCTTGATAAACTGACCACCCTTTGAGTTCTTGAAGACCCAAAAAGAAAAGCACCGTTCAAAAGATGCACACCACAGCTTGTGGATCGATGATGAGTTTGATTGGCACTCCAGTCACTGTCACTAAAACTCTCAAGGATCCAGTGTTTGTCTGAAGACTTCCATCGTCCCTGTCCACCAATAGGTACATCCAAAAGAACACAGTACTCTGGACTCTGGCGTAGTTTTCAAATATCCAACAAGCTTTCTCAACCTTTGCAATGCTGTAAGAGTGGGCTTTGACATCGAACCTGAAAGTTCTTTCACCGTAAACAGTAGATCTGGCCTGTCTCGGGCCAAATACAGGCATGTCCCCACCACTGAGCGAAATGCAAAAGCTTGATCACAAGAAAGTTCTGCGGACAAATCTTCGGTGTGAATTCCGCCATCGCATGGGATTGATTGGTTCCTAACCTTTCCGAAATGATCTTCAAACAACTTGATGACCTTCTCTGCACTTGTACCTGGCAAAAGCGCCAAACCAGTTTGCACTCGTTTGATTCTCCTCTTCAAAAACGATATCTCACTGTCCATCCCTGCAAGCTCTGAGTGACTGATTTTGAACTTTGCAGCAAACTTCACCAGAAAAGTATTCATCCAGTAATCGCGATTGCCACAAAACAAGATATCGTCCACGTGAACCGTGAACCATAATGCAGCAATGCGCATTGCGCGCCAAGCAAAGTGCTCGCTGCACCATTTGAAGTCCATCTCTGTTGAAAGAAAATCACGCAAATACCAGTACCAACTTCGAGCTCCCAAACGCTGCCCAGGAAGATTCTTGCGGACAGCAAACGTCTGCTCCAGCAAAGTTACCAACATTGGCGATGGCTGATCCACCATGAGAAAAGCATCTTTCACATCCAACGTTCCAAGGCATAGGGGCTCATTGGCATGGTGATTGTCATCAGCGACATTTGCCAAGCTTTGCAAGTACATCATTGGAAGCAAATTCAAGATGTGCGTGGAAGTAGCTGGTGCATATGTATCTGATCTCTTCTCCCAAAAGGAATATTCACGTGCCACCAGTCTGGAGTCTGGATCTTCTAAGCCAACACTTTGCAGTAGTGCCATCCGGCAATAATCTCTCTTTCAATCTCCAATCATAAACGAATCGTGATGTCAAAGTGTTGTTCTTGGCATCAATGCCATCCACATTCCCTTCCACAAGCACCTTCATGCCACACAGTCTTGAAAGTTCAACTCGATCAGCAATCCTGTCAATAGATTCGTCTGGTGTAGGAGGGCATCGGTCAGTTGGAAAATCCGACCACAGCTCTGGAGGTATGTCTGTTGTCACACAGTCCTCCTTCTCATCTTCCATCCAAGCATCAACTTTGTCATGGTCATCCAACTGCAGATCCTTGTCGTACTCATCCATCGTGTGGAAAGTTTCCTCTCCAAACTTCCCTGTCCTGATCATTGACTTGTACTCAGCACTGATGCGCTCAAGTCTTTGTTCATGCTGTCTTGTTATTGGGTTCTGTCTCGGTGTTGTAGGAACTGCTGCAAGAACATCTGGTGTTTGAGGAACCTCTGAACCCGCTGCTGCTGAAGATGTTGCAGCAGAGGAAGCAGTTTGGGCCACAGGCTGTCCAGCAACTACTGGTTGACCTTCTGGAGAAACATCATCATCGAAAATTCCAATTGGATTGGAGTACTTTGGTCGTTCCCCTTTGTCCTCCTCCAATTCCGGCTGAACATCTTCGGGCGGCTGTTTGTTGTGCAATGTCATTTCAACAATCTCAGCTTCTTCTCTAACCTCCAATGCTTCAACCTCACGGCCTCCGCATCTTATCGAAGAAGGCTCTCGGCTCGATTGCGCCTACAGAGCCATTGAAACTTGCAGACAAAGCGCCTTTCTGAGCTTTGGTTGGTACCACACGCCACCAAATCCAGTTTTACAGAGGAGGCCCGCACATGCGAAGCCTGATTTCAATTGACTTTCCGGCCCCAGAAATGGAACCTGAAAGCGCACATG